ATGTAATGTAATGTGTGTTATAATCAGAGAAATTGTGGTAGTAATCCACATTATCTTTCATATATGCTTAGCCGAGAATAAAAGTACCTGCTAAATCCTCTCATTTCTACAACGCTATGTCCATGATATTAGGTGAAGTATGAAATTCAAGATATTAATAATTATGAATACTTGTCGTATTATTATGCTAGCTGAAAATTGATTTAGTTTAAATGCCGACCAATTCTCTATTTCTTCCGCATCTATATCAGACGCCATTCATTTAAGTATAAGTTCCGGTTTATTGCTAGGAATAGATTCAATTTCTCAAATTGAATAGATTTTAATACCTCTATGAAATATTTTCCTATCGTGATTGTGCTTTGGAACACCATTTACTAAATAAATTTTGAATAGAGTTGAGGCCTCAGTATGCAGCTAAGTAGTCAATTAATTCTGCCGTGGGAAACCCCATATAATGTTGAAGAACATTATATAAGGAAAAATATTAATACACTCTTAATATGACCTACTACATTTAAACTGCAATTAGACTCCTAATTAAGGATTGCTTCTAGTATTTGGCGTTTCGCAAAAATAAGTTTTAAATTATTCGTTTTATATGGGATTAGCATTAGGGGTTTTAAAATACCTTGTAAATGTATGGCATTGCTTAATTCGATTTGATCTGCCTTAAGCATTTCATGAACATTACGTTTAGGGTGTTTGTGAGAATATACCGCTGACATTGATAACCGGATAGCGATGTTACACTATCACAACAATTCCCAACTTCATGTTATATATAATATAATCGATTCTAACAACTCTCAACAATGATAAGAGTAGGTGTATTTATCCGATCATTAAAGGTCCAAGCGAGTTCATATATATTGTATATTAAAAAATATTAATTTCATATATATTTTTTGTGTTGATTTCCAATCGGTTCCACTGTATTTCGTGCTTCGATTGACAGACATGTAAATAAACCATTTCGCTCCTCTCTGTTTCAATGTAGAACTTCGAGTATTAATCGACGCACATTATTTACGTGACACACGTTCATTTTGATATGACGTGTCGCATATATGGCGTATTTAAATGGCATACCTTGACCCCTCTCAAGCAGTCAATATACTCCGCCCATTTTGCTTTGGGTCTATCGAAATAACTCAGTTACATTCCAGTTTATATATCATTTGATGTCTTGACAAACTCAGCCATAAAATATTACGAATTGCTGTGGACGGCCTAAGTGAACAGAAACTCGCGCGAACTCGCGTTCAGACTCTGAAATGCTGATGGTATCAACGCCGCAGCGGTTACTGTATCTGCAACCATTCCAGTATTGGCTTCTTGCTTCAGATGGATTGTAAGTTTAATAACTGAAGTTGTAATAATTAAGCGATTAAAATTCCATACGGCAGCGTATATGACTTTTATATGTGTTAATATTAAGTTTTTTATTTAAAGCAGCACGTGTTGGGTTGAGGCAGCTACGCGCGTCTCTGCCCACATTGCTCGATAGATCGATGCATAGGCCTATGTTTGGAAGTACAAAAATGTCAAACTCAATTCTCTAGCCCTAAACTATGCAAATTTAAAGTCTACAGAGTTGTTGTGCCAAGTTGAGAATATCAAATAAGCCCAAGCGTTTCATATTGAACGCTAAAAGTCAATGGAATGTAATTAAATCGTTTGAGATACAGTGTTTAGGCATGCGTATTACACATGCCTGGAGTACTGGAGGTGCTACATAAATTTTATGGTTCATTAGATTGAATGGTTGAGTAAGAAACGACAAACTCTACAGTTGCTTCAGTAGTGAGAAGCAGAGAAACTATCGTAGTTTGTATTCATGTAACTGCATTTAATTTTAGATAAAGTACATTTTTTATATGAATTTATATGAATTTGTTAAATTTTATTTTACTTTTTTTTTTGTTAGAATTATTGGTAGGTGTGAAAAGCATATTACATTCTCAACAGAAGCTCTTACCCTTTCGAAAATATTTTTAATGAAATAATATTAGTGCTGAAGCCATTATTTTAATTTTATAGCTTCAATGGCCTTAAGTTATTATAAATAAATATTATTTAATAAAGTTCGTATATAATTTTTTTCTGACTCACAAGATCTTAAGCATTTGCAGGATGTATAAATCTAACAGTTGGCCCACAAGTGAACATTTCACCTGAACCACCCAGCACACAATCACAAAAGAGATACATTGAGTATCGATATTCTTGATAAAAAATAACACCCAAATTATTTTCATGTATTGGATATTGATATATGTACATATATTCTTCACCAAAGTTTCTCAATTGCCGATCCGCTACCGCTGAGTCGTTAACGAAATATAATAGTACATAATTTTGTAACATATATTGCGTATTGATTTTCGTACATGTCTTTTTATTCCATATCACCTCTGTTCAGCTACCCGATCCGTACCATAAAGCTAAACACCCATTAGCATTATGGGTCGTTGTATTTTTGCTTTCAACGATATTACTTTATTTAATAATGAAGTCTTGTTATTAGTGATATTACATCGGAGAATTTTTCGAGCTGAAAGGGGGTTTTAGTACAAGGCTTATGAGATCGATAAAAGTCCTTGCAAAATATATAGTATAATTTTTTGGATTTTGATGTAAAAAACACCTCTTGAGTAAAAAACCTCATGATGTTCACTTTTAACTGTAAGAACTGTATAGATGTTCTTATCACAAGTATACAGATCATACAATCCTGCCAATTGTTTCTATTGTACTTTTTACAGTAGATTTATGAATCAATCCTTCCGTGACGTTTAATTTAAGCAGACAGACATTTATATTCCACAGATCTCTACGGCTTAAGTAAACTTAGCATTAAAATTTTAGTAGTTCTTTTTTTGCTGTTTTTTTTTTTTGCTGAAAACCCAAAATTGACTAACGTGAACCATATATAATAACAAACTTTTCCCCTTATATCCTAAAGGCACATCGGTATATATAAATATGTTTTTAATACCATATTGTTAGTTGAAAATAATTATTTCCTTATATTTTGTAACTGCTAGAAATCGCTATATGACAAGACGAAGATTTTGTGAAGGATGTTCCATTTGACATGAGGAACTACTTAAAATGGGACATACTGACTTCTACTCATAAATACCTATTATTCAATTCGGAATAGTTGAAGTACAAAATGTGTTATGGTCGTTGTGCTCCACTCTATATAAGAGCGCAGGTTTTATGTGCCTTTCTATCTAATTGATCTTATAGTCATTTTGTTCTAGTAGCAGGCCTTCGTTAAATGGTTCTGTGCCTTAGAAAGGTAGTCCTGACCTTGATTGAGTGTTTATTCAACTAAATAAATGAGTCAGTTTCATAAATCTCTGTTCATCATAGGGGCGATTAGTAGTATGTTCCATATTATGTATTAGTACTAAGGTTGTTTGAAGAATTTTGCACTTGAGTATTAAGCAGATGTTCCCAGATGAAATTAATATATATGAATACTATATTAATTGTATATATAATATATGTTTTTACTGTCACGCTATATTTTTATTTATTTATTTTATTATCTTCAAGTATCTTTTTGTGATTAAATTTTTTTTTCACAAGAACTTAAATTAAATTTTTGTTTAAAAAAAGTACATTATTACGATCGTAATTCTATTTAAACAAAGATTACAAGGATTCTGAATGAACTTATATAATATTAGTAACGTGGTTGATTGACTTTAAACACGATCGTAATAACTTAGTTAGATGAAGACTATTTTAGACAATCAAAATCTGTTGTCACTATCAGAAGAAAATCTTTGAAATATTTCCTTATCATCTTTTTAGCATAATTAAGACCCAAAAATAAAAAAATGTTATGTATAAAATATAATACATTTTATTGAACAATTCAAGTACTTACAAAGGTTATAGGTACTTCGTTTAACTATATTTGAAAAATATCTCATGAAGACTTCTTTCATAATTCCATGTAACTCATAAGGATCACACTTTTGCTGCCTTTGGATCAAAAATGCTAAGGCTACTAAGACAACTATAAGACTATTATATTATAAGTCTATTACTACGAAGACTACTGCAGTACTAGGTCTATATTAAAACAATTGAAGAAGTTTAGATTTTACAAAAACTAGTTCTAGTTTTTAATTAGTTTAAGATCATTGCCCAGGGCGGTACGTATATAGTAATCTATTAAAATAAAATTTTACACATAATAAATTTAATTCCAAATATATTAAAATGAAATTGAGCACTCGAATCACTTTCTGAGTGAGATCCTTGTTTAAAGATAAATTTTATAAATTAAATTTTATCGTTAGATTGGTAATACCATTTTCTTCATAGATATCGCGTATCATCAGGCCGCTGCGTTAGAGATATCTCCAAAAAATAAAATATATCCTTTTCTGAAAGGATTATGGAACTCCTAAAAAATTTACTGAATAATAAAAGAAAAAATTCATTTTTTTTTTTATAAAACATATTTTATTTTCAAATTTTTTTAATAAAAATTTTAATTAAAAACTAAAGCCAATCCAATCGAGATGCTTGTCTTATATTCAAACTTAGAAATAAATACATAACAATTATTAATAATATTGCATAAATAATTATAATAATATTTGGAGATTTTAATCTTGTTCTTTTTCTATAAATAATACATTTTCGGCTTAGGCGAATATTACACATAATAAAAAAGTGAAAAACTTACTAACATTTGTATATACATGAAGCGATAATATATATAACAAATTCTACATTTTTGACTAATATTTGGGTTTGAATAATCATATACAGAAGTATGTACAACCTGTCTCACTTCCACAAACTAACATAAATAGAGCTGTGCGAGTGTGAGAAGCAGAGCAACACTAATTTTTATAAACAAGAAACGTATTGAGAGCGCAAAAAGCAATAAATAAAAACTAATTTGCATTAATTTAAAAGCATTAAAAAAAACCAAAATAAAAAATAATAAGAAAACAATAACTAAGGGAAGAATAAAATAAATAAATAAACTGTAAGCAAATAACGAAACATAAACGCAAAGCAAGAGCATTGCTCCTCCCCTTTTAGACGCAAACAAATATGCCGCGCAGGCTGGTCGGGTTGTTCGCGAAGCCGTTGTAGTTTTGTGTTCCTTCGGCGCTGATCTTTTGACGTTTGGCATTTTCGCTGCCGTTGATGCAATCCGAGGATGTGTCTGATTCGTTCTCACTGGTGAGCTGGAAGAATTTGCGTGTGGTGGATTGACGTAATTCTTCCTCACTAGAATCGCTGTGGACATCGCTTTCTCCGGTGCTTGTATTGAAACTGTGCACTGAACTGATTGACGTCTTCATACTGAGATCCATGGGACAATCTTGATTGTCTGTGTTTCTTACGGGGGCAGCACTGGCAACTGTTGATTCTGTGCCCAGTGAACAAACAGGTGACACCGACTGCATTTTTGCTGCGAAAGTTGGATCCGCAGCGACTGGTGCAACAGGTTCCGCCAGAGAATGTGTTGGGGAAAATGTTTGACTGGCACTATTACTGTTGACAGGACTGAAACTCTTGGGTGTGGCACGTATGGCGATGGGACTGTGTATTGTATGTACTGATACTGGTGACGCCGAGTGATGCGACAATGAAGAGTGATGTTCAGTTACATGATCCTCATCACCGGATACACACAATTCAGGCGAATGACGTAGTGCGGATGCAGATAGACGATCTTCTTCGACGATTGAATGTGCACGACTGGTTGGGGAATATCTCACTGATTCACCCGAATTAACAGAGTCCACTGACTGGCGATGTTTGAACATTTCGGTACGGTACGCTGCATCTGCAGCGGCGGCTGCTGCAGCACTTGGATGATAACCGGAGAATAGTAAATGTGGCGGAAGTTGAAAAGCAGATTGCGCTGAACTCATATTTGGCAGCGAATTGATCATGTTGAAGAATGGGAGAGCTGCGGCGGCGGCATCAGCTGGATGACGGGCGGCAGCAGACATATACGGTGTTGTTGTTTGCATCATATCAGGCAAATACGTTGGATAGCCCAACAAGCCGCCCATATGTTGTGCGGCAGCTAAGTGCGAGTTGCGTTGTTGCATGTGTTGTTGTGCGGCGGCAGCAGCTGCTGCGGCGGCCATATCGCCGAATGCCCCGGGTGCGCCAACATTGGCTGCTTTCCCAGCAGCTTCGACTGCTTGCTGTTGTTGCTCTTGCAGCAAACAGTGTATTTTGAACCAGTTTGAACGGCGCCCATAACGCGAACCGCCTTTCGACATGCCCACCGTGTAGCATTTGCGTAGGCGGCAGGCTTTGCAAGTCGTTCGATTTTTCTTGTCGATTATGCATTTTCCATTGTTTTTGCATTCGCTGATCGATGAGAGATTATTGTACGATCGACCAAAAAACGACTATAAAAGAAGAAAGAAATGATTATTAATTGAAGGCATAAATACTCATTAATTACTGTGTTTAATAATAATAATAATGATAAAATAAATAATTAATTAAGTGAAGTTTATAATTACCTTGCAACCCTCACATGTGAAGGCACCGAAGTGGAATCCGGCCGCGGGTTCACCGCACACTTTGCATGTCTGATTCATCTAAAAAGTGAAGAAAAAATTAAATTATTAATTAATTATCGCTAATATGCTTAGGTAATGGAGGAGTTTTAAATAATTCAGGTAATTACTAACCAAGTCCATAATCATTTCTCTAATCCCTAACGAAATTCGTAAAGAGTTTTTAACAATTTTTTTTAATATTTTTTATTTTACACAGAAAGTGTTAATCGCTTGAAGCGCTCGGCTCGAATGACGCTTCCCAGCAACTCACACTATTTTTTATAGGATTGTCAAGGAGTAAGAAGTGCAAGGGATTGCGCGAATGAACGCTGATTTTACAACATCCTTAATGGCGAGGCAGTGTGTGTGATTTTTGTTGTTGCTTTTGTTAAAAAATGAGCCCATATTGTTATGCAACCCTAATCGGCCGATTTTTTCTTGCTGTGTTTTTTTTTATTTCGTGCCGCTCAGTGCAATAAAAGGTCATAAAATAATTTACGACCCGCTCATTGTCAGGTAATCGTTTCCAGAGATTAACGTCGGCTTGAGGTGAACTATGTTTTTTATTTTTTAAGTCTTTCATTGCGATTTTTTAGGTGCAATTTTTTTTTGCATGTGCGTGGAGAGGGTCTGTGAAAGGTCGGTCATTAACTAAAAAATAGTTCGATTCTAGTTAGTAACCTTGACCGGATGATATATGATACGTAAAAAATCAAATTGCCGTTTTCGGAAATTCTTTATTAAAACATAAAAAAATGCATATTATGAAAATTTGGGTAAGACATCGATTTCCAGGAAAGCAAAAAATCACAATTGCAAAAATCTGCAAACTGTGCAAAAAGCAACCGACGGTAAATGCGTTTCTTATAATTTTTTTATTGTAAAAAAATAGACAAAACCTGAATTCTTTTCAAGTTTCCATAAAAAAATTTTTTATCCGTGACAGCGGAGATTTTTTAATAAACTTACCTTGTATTTTTTAGAGTTAAGTCCGTTCTTTAATATATAGCGAATGTAGTACTTTTTTAGAATTTTTTTTAAAATTTATTTTTAAACAAATATTAAAATTTTTTATTGCACTTATTTTTCTTGTTTTTTAGTTTAATATTTAATGGCACTTGACAGTCTAAAATTGTTTTAATTTTGAATTAATTTTTTTTTTTGCTTTTTTCTTAAAAGTATTCACAGTCTTTTACTGTGGTTGTTAACACTTTCTTTTTTGTTTTATTGAAGAGAGATCGCGCGCTCTAAGCATTTAACTGTGCATTACACTTCGGCTACTAGCTAACGACTGATTTCTTGTTCCAGCCAATGTCTTACAAGAAGTATTTCGTGTCTGAACTAAACTTGACTTGTACGCTCTGCACAATAAACTGAAGCACAGAAATGAGCAATAATGCATTTATTCGTTCAACGAGGGTTAGTGGGATTCACAACGAAGATCGTTTTACCTGAGTCTCTGTTTGTTAAGTTCGGACGAATTCTGTTAGCTGCGATAGCTGTTACCGTTTACATGAATGAATCATAGGTAATTCTCATGCTGTTAACTACATGTTATAGCTGCTGTTGTGCTCAGTGCTGTTAAGTTTGCTGCATGAATGAAATTGTCAATGGTTGTGTGCGCAATCGAATTTGTGTGAGTGATCAGTCCAGGGGATTAACATATTTATTTCTACGTTAACATTTTTTAACAGAAGAGTTGGATGAATAGTAAATTAGTTAGAAATAAAATATATACAGACTTATTGAGTAAATGCTCTACACGATTTTTACTGCTCTGCTTAACGTTGGTTTTGTTTTTGTTTTTGTTTCTCATTTGGCTTTTATTTGTATGTATTTTTTGCTTTTCTTAATTCAATGTTTTCAATATATTCCATGTGTTGATGGGCGGGGTTTTAAATACTAGTTACAGTTACCTGAATTATTGAGCTTATCCCCCATTTTACAAAGAAAAAAAAACAACAACAATACTTATTAATACTATTTCGAATGTTTATTAATTGATTTTTTTTGTTGACTATCAATTATATTAGAATAAAATGTGCTTGTTTTACACATCTGATATATGATATACGATGTGATGTATAAGATTATAAGCTGTTTATTACAAATTTTATCTTTAAAAGCTAAGCTAATTTTTTATTTGTATATATAAATATTTTTTTTTTTTTTGCTTTTTTATATATATTTATAATTACGTCTGCCTTACAGGAGATGGCAATAAGTAATTGGAAGAATTTTAGTATATAAGAATAATACGTAATATCAAATCCATATTTAACAAATATAATTTTTTTAATGAGTAAGTAAAGAATCATATGTAACAATTTTCACAATAGAACATAATATATTGTTTATATATAAAAATATTTTGAAAACAATTTTTAAGATTTATTTAAATTATTATCTATAAAAATTTCAGTTTATTTGTTTACAAATAAGTATTACAATATTAGTTTAATTTGTGAAATAAAATAAAAATAATAAAAACTAAATTAATTTCAGTCATTAAAAACATATTATATTTATTTAAGCAATTAATATATTATATATATAATTAGATAAATAATTAAGCTTTCTGTACATTATAAATTAACAATTATTCTGTTATTATAATAATTTAGTTTTTTAATGATTAAATTTTATTAATTTTTTTTTGTGAACGGGTTAATTGATCGAAATCAAACCATTTTTTTAAATAGTTCTTAAACATATATTTTTTTTGCACCGATATTTCGATATCTTCGATATCAGACATCTCTAGCGTATATTGACCAATCAGCCCGTTTAAAAATATTTTAATATTAATAATAATTTTTAATTTTTTATATTATTAATTTAAATATACAATCAAACTTCCATAACTCGAAGTACCATTTTGCAAAATAAAAGGTTCAACTTATAGAGACTTCGAGTTAAAGATTTTTTTTGTTATTGTATGTAATTTGCTCTTTAAACCCTGTTACACTCTATTTAGTTCGAGTTATAGAAAATTCGAGTTATAGAAGTTCGAGTTATGAAAGTTATTAAAGGATTATCGGACAACAACCAGCCCAATAAGACTCAATAAGACTAAAGACGGTTTCAGAAAATAGAATTTTAATCAATTTTATATTTTATTATATATTTAATTTGTTAATTGAACTCTTGAACGTTTTTTTTTATTATCTTTTAATTTAATAATAAGTGAAATACACATTATAAAACTATATACTGCTGTCAATATAATATTTGTTTATCAACAGTTGCCTTACATCCTGGTTAATTTAAATAACGATATAGTATCTGCAGATATATCAACCATTAACACATAAATGTAATAATTGTTGTATTATATACGATAAAATTATGGAATCAATAAGATATATTAAAAACAACCTTCCCTTGTAGTGATTAAAATAATTTCAAACTAAAATTACAAGTTCATCGGCTGTACTACTTTTTTCACAGTTCAGATCTATGTAAATCTTTAAGATATAATTACAAACATGTTTGAGTACTTATGAATATAAATATATATATATATATAAATATATATATAAATATATATATATTTCCCACAAAATCAAGAATACATTTATTATGTATTCTTTAGATTTTATCCTTTTATTAAGGCTACTTTGTTCGAATGTAGGGTCTCTTGGATCAGTACTTATATTTTTCACAGAATTTGACTTTGTTGATAACCATTTCGGTTAAGTATTTACATTTAATAAAAAAACTTAAGTTATCAGTATAATGTTACTATCTATAGTGACTATTAGATAGTGATAGTTATTTTTTATTCTTTTGAGATTTATATTATCATCATCATTGGCTAAATCACTCGACACGGGTCTTTGCTTACTGTAGGCTTTGTATACTTTCAATTCGATCTTAAGCGCATTATCTTCAACATAGAAGACCCATTTGTTCTGCATTTTTCTAAGCTTCATTTATTCATCCCAATTTTGAGCCATCTCTACATTGCTTTTCTACAACATGTTGCATAGTACATTAATAAATTTTAATTTATACATTTATTTTTACCTTAAGTGAAATTAAGTCATGAGTCTATATAAGTCGATGGGAAAAAATAAAGTTATTATTTTATAGTTTTCTTTCTGAATAAAATGGTGAAAAAAACAAAAAAGGGATAATCTTAACTGTTATGAACTAACCCGCTCGGAAATTGGATCCCTTTTTGTGAGAAGTGATGACGTGATACTACCAATTGGTACTTTTAACCAAATTAAGAAGTCAATTTTTCATGGAGACTCTCTTTTACGAACACTTCCTGAGGCAGTTTTATCTTGTTATCACAAAGAAATTCAAATAATTCAATTATCAAGTAGATTGGAGAAATTATTCTTCACTTGAAAAGGTAGTTCTCATAGGTATTCAAACCAGTAAGCTGTAGTTAATGATCGACTATATAATTTAGGAATATGATCTTATAGTTAGAATCTTACTATCACTCTAAGGACTACGAATACAATGACAATTCTAAAGTATTTTATGAAATACCTATAGTCGTAAAGTCTAACTACAATAACAATTGCTTGTACCTATGCTGTTTTTCTATACGTGCACTCATTTATTTAACATTATCATTTAATTTTATTTTTTTATTTTGATTAACTTTTTTTAATTTTACTCTAAAAAATTATTGGAATCTTGTTATTGCCTCACATTGTAACTCAAATTTTATAGTCAAAGGTCTCCTAACGTTCATTCCAATTGGATAGATATCCAATTTAGGAAGAGAACTTTTCTAAAATAAAACTTTTTTTTTATTATTTATTCTCCTTATTCTCCTTATTTGTTGCCTGTGATCCGTCAGATATTGGAGAGTCATTGGCATTATAATGAGGGAGCTATAAGCAATCGAGGGTGGCATAAAAATATTATAAATAAAATTGTAAGAATACATTTTTAAGTGTGTCAATATAAATTTGTGCTTATACAGTATTATATTATTGACATCTGGTGTTTAAAGTATATAAGGGTCAGGAAGCTGACTTATAATATGACTCTGAATGCTTTAAGGCCACTAATATAAGGAAAGTTGAGTTTGAAAAATTAAATTCTACTTTATAAGCAAATAATTAGGCCTTAACTACTTTATGGATGCGTTACTTATGGCTATGGTGCTCCATCCACCAACAGAAAATATCAAACTTATCAGAATATTGTGCTGAGGCGTATGCTATCACCTTTATGATGCATCAGAAATATACACAAAGATTTGAGAGTCGAGAGTGTGCAATAGTAAATCGAAGACAGAACGTTAAAATTGTTTAGTTTTATACGCATCCATAATTAGAATTGCACTCTCTCAAATCAAATGCAATATATGTTATATTCCGTTAGAAAGATATGTTGGGCTTCAAATTATAGTTCTGTAAAATCATCTGAATAGCTTATAATCAGAATTCAACGAAGTTCTTATTAGACTACATCAACCACTTGGTTACAGACACTAATGAGTAAAAGTGCTTTAGACACTAACTCGGGTTTCATCAAGCAAAAAGAAATAACTCTGTATATTTCTCTAGACAATTTTGGAATATATCTCTGCAGATTTTTTGTATGATCAAAAATATTCGCAATTGCAACAAAGGAGAACGATAAAAAAAGAATCTGTCAGTTTTCTTGTATGGTCAGTAATTTTCGCAATTGCAACAAAGCAGAAAGACAGATCCCTTTTGACTGTACACCCCTGTTTGACAAACTAACGTTGTCTGACGATAAGTGTTCCCTCAAGATAATTTTCGTTTTATTTTTAAAAGATTTATTACTTAGTGTTCAATTTACTTAACATTTTAATGCATTTTAAAATTTATCAACAAAATCAAACACAATGTCAGTACAAAGCATATTTTCATCCCAAAAATGATTGTCAGTCAAGACTGGCTGCATTTTCTGCTAATTTGCAGAATGTCATTGAGTCTTTTGAGATAATAAGAAATGTGTGTCAAATTTAAAGAAATTTTGCTAAAAAAATCAAAAAGTCAAATTTTTTAGATTATTCCTGGAAGTGGTCCACTAAAAAACTAGTACTCACAATAGAGATCCTGGGTCGAAA